CCTCTCGTTAGCAAAGATTTGAATAATTGCAGACCTGTCATATCGCAAGATATAATTTAGCTTTCATGGGTTTCTGGTTAATTGTGGCATTAGTCGTTCCTAATACAAGCCAAAACACCGCTTAAATGGAATTTTATTTTTCCCAGATAGTTAAGTGTTTCTAATGGTGCTTTTCAAGAGTGATTTATATTATAGTAGGTTTTTTTTTATTTTAAATTATATAATAAAAGATAATTTTTTATTTTTTTATTTTATTTATATACTCTATAATTTAAGTTTGGCACATGACCAATGATGGGAAACTTAGCTAGGAGCTTAATTAAGTTATATTATAGTAGGTTTTTTTTTATTTTAAATTATATAATAAAAGATAATTTTTTATTTTTTTATTTTATTTATATACTCTATAATTTAAACTCAAAATTTTTTATTTTACTAAAAAAATTAACATTAAATTACTTAAATAGGTAACACCATAGCAATACTTTAATAGAGTTTAATGCTAGTAAATCGAACTTGGCCTCAAAAAAAGAGCTGGAAAATCAAACTTTACCACAACCGGGCAAAATAAAACTCAAACCCAATAGGCATAGTTACATTCTAATTGCTCCTTTTGTGTTGATGATGGGATTTACTTTACAGCTAGGTATCTTAAACTATTAAACCCGCAAGCAGTCCTGTCTTGAAAGCAGAAAGAAATCGGTTATAAAGTGGGAAAGAAAGATTGGTTGAGAGAGTTGAATATAGCATGCATGCAAGAATTAATGTATTAATGGATCCTATTCCTTTTTATTACAAATCAGGCCTTATTAGCCGAAATAGAATCCAAGAATTATAGAACGTTGTTTTAAAAGTCAATTTTAGGATTAAAGTCCAACTGACTACTGTTTCCAACTTGCTGATCATTTGAACAAAGTATAGTTCTTTAAAAGTGCCCCTATGAAGTTAGCCAAAACAGGGGAAGAAGAAGAAGAGATGCACATGGGCAGGAGCTGGAGTGATTGACTTTGCTTAATTCTTAATTTCTATGCATTCATAACTGCCATGATTTACAATGACCTGTTTTCTATCTCCTTTGGGGGCTTTGCAGGGATATGAATAAACTTATATGTGACTTTTCCAAGGATTTCTATTGTTTTCTTGAATCTTTGAGTACAGGTATTAAAAATTTTCTTGATTCTTCCTTTTCAATGATAGAAAGGGTAGCTCTCCTTCTAGGGCATGGACAAGCATTTTGGGCGGTTGGGAGATGCTCCAGATGGCGGGTGTGAGACGGGATGTAGGAGTGGCCAAGATGTTTTGATTTATAGAAAGTTGCAGCACAATGTTTTACCAAATGGGTGTGAGATGGGATATTCTCAAAAGTTGCGGCACTGTTTTACCAACCAGGAGTGTAGAGAAGTTCTTAAAATTCCCATTGGAGGGTCGGGGCCCTCTTTCTCTTTCTTGCATATAATTTTGTGAATGGTTCTGGTGTCAGGGAGGTTAGTAATGCTATTTCTGCCATTGAGTGGAAACATTTGTGGAAATTAAAAGTACCTCCTAAAGACAAAGTTTTCTTATGGAGGTCTATACATAATTCTCTGCCTACTATGTATAATTTGGTTAAAAGAGGGATATATAGTACAAAAGGCTGTATGTCATTGTTGTCATTTATCTGATATGAGACTTTAATGCATATGCCGTTTTATTGCCCTTTATGCTGAACCAGTTTGGTTTGCTCCAGCCTTATGTATTAATCCTAGGCAGCTGAGGGTAGCTAATTTGTTTAAAACAATTCAGCTTGAGATGGGGTTGGGTCTTCCTTATGTTGTTTTTGAATCTGATAATGAAAATCTAATTTCACGTCTCTCTGCCATGGGAAGTTAGATATCTATCATTTTTTCCGTGATATTCATGGTTGATGTTGATGATGCCTACCCCCAGGATTTTTTAGCCTAAATTGAATATCACATTGACATGTTCAATTGATCATATCTGTTGGCTACAGTAGAGCAGCCGGTGTTATTTATATATGGACAATATCACTTATTACAATTGTTACAAAAGTCATAATGTAGATGAGATCATTGGTTGGTTTGTCACGTAAATATGCTGGTTGATTAAGACCATATATGCAGATTAGCCAGCAAGTGGCATATTCCAATGGAATACCAAGGTACTCTAACGGATAATGCCTTAAACTGTGCATAAATGATTGAAATGGGGTGCCTTTGGGTGGTTGTGATAAATAAATTTATGGCACTTGTGGAAAAATCCTAAAGGAAATGGTCCAATTGTTGGCTATAGCCTATAGTTTCATTTAGAGATAGAGGTGGTGGTACTATCCATTAAAAAAACCAAGCAAATTTCCATTAGAAAAACCAAGGAAAAGTAGCAGCCTTACTTTTGGCAAATCAACTAAGATAGCAGCCTTGTTTTTTTGCCAAACTAAGACCAGTTCCTTTAACAGGCTACTCGTATTGTTATTGGCTGCCCAAAAAACCTCATAATCTTAGCTGTCTCAACCAGTAAGAGTTTGAGACTTTGAGTTAGAAATTTCAAGTTTAAAGTTTAAATGTTGAGATAGCGAGAAGAGATTTTGAGTGCTATTCTTATTGTATAGCCTATAATCAAATGTACCAAAAGAAAATATCATCTATAGGCAGATTTGTAAAACACTAGAGAAGGAAAAAAGAGTGAGCGATAGGGAAATTTACAAAGTGGAGAGATAAGAAAAATTGAAATTTTAAATGTAGGTAAGCTACTAGAAAACTGTCTATATAAAGAACTTAAATGGTGCTTAATAGGCAACCATATCCATGGCTACTTTCTCTTTTACAAGGATAAGTTCCTTAATGGCTTTAATACTAGTGCTTCTGGGACTCCTTTCGACAAGCCTCGATTCTGCAGGTATTTCTTCTATCTATCCTTGCAGGTATATATCATGTTCTGTTACAAGGTAGACTGATGCTCACTTGTCTTGCTTTGGCAGTAACGCCAGGTTGCTAGGTTACCAAGCTCTAGCATTAGCTTCTTCTAGTTTCTGCTTTTACTGGCTTATGTTTTAATCGCTTGATCAAGATCTGGATATATTATGGCTCGAAAAGCTTAATATAAAAGCAAAAACTCTGAAACATAGAAAATAGTATGTTCATATCCATATATATATACTTAGTAGTTCTGACTAGATTGTTTTAATTAATCTAAATATGACAGGAGGAGGTGCTTTAATTTCTTTCATTAATAAGCTTTCCGACGCAGATTTCATTTAGTCCACGTTATATAATGCAGGTGCACAATCAGCAGGTGTCTGATATGGAATGCTAGGTAACAATCTGCCATCCACGCCAGAGGTCATACAACTCTTCAGATCACACAATATTAAGCGAATGAGAATCTATGATCCTAATTCTGCAGCTCTGCAAGCTCTTAGAGGCTCCAACATTTAGCTCTTGATAGGTGTCCCGAACTCTGATCTTCAAAGCCTCTCAAAACCCTTCCAATGCACAGTCATGGGTACAGAGAAATGTGCTGAGCTACTGGCCTAGTGTCAGATTCAGGTACATAGCTGTTGGGAATGAAGTAAGTCCTGTTAATCCAGGCACAGCTTCCATTGCTCAATACGTTCTGCCTGCCTTGGTGAATGTATTCAATGCAATCAGATCTGCAGGTCTCCAGGACCAAATCAGGGTTTCAACTGCAATTGACATGACCTTTATAGGAAACTCATACCCTCCATCTGCAGGTGCCTTTCGTGGAGATGTTAGGAAATATATAGACCCAATAATTGGCCACCTTACACAGGCAAAAACACCTTTATTTGCTAATATTTACACATACTTCAGCTATGTTGGTAATCCAAGGGACATATCTCTTCCCTATGCCCTGTTTACTTCCCCATCTCCTGTCATATGGGATGGTTCCCGGGGTTACCAAAACCTTTTTGATGCTATGTTGGATGCCTTATACTCAGCTCTTGAAGGAGCTGGACAATACTCTCTGGATGTGGTTGTTTCAGAAAGTGGATGGCCCTCTGATGGAGCGTTTGCAGCAACATTTGATAACGCACGCACATATTACTCAAATTTGATAAATCATGTCAAAGGAGGTACCCCAAAGAGGCCTGGCAGAGCCATAGAGACTTACCTATTTGCCATGTTTGATGAGAACCAAAAGCAGCCAGAGTTGGAGAAACATTTTGGGGTTTTCTTCCCTGACAAGCAGGCGAAGTATCCACTAAATTTTGGCACAAAAATGATCTCAGATATTTCTGCTGAGAACAATACAACTGCTTTCCTCAAGAGTGATATTTAAAGTTACAAGGTCTTTGTTTCTGTGTCCTGTCTTGAATAACTCATAGCTGCACAGACAAATGCTGTCTTTGATATACTGCAGGAGAGAGAGTTTGTGTGTGTGTGTGTGTTTTTTTTTTCCCTTTTTCTATGGTTAATTAATGTTAACTCTTACCTAGTTTGATGCTTTTAATTGTTCTATGCTGCAAAAATTGAAACAGGAGCAAAGATCTCTAATACCAGTAGTATTTCATTGCATTACTACATAAATTTCAAAGGTAATAACATATATAGCAGCATAATTTATTGATATATAACATCAGGAATTACGTAGTTCCTGCTGCTGCTATAATCAGGCGCAGAAGCATACCCTTGAATGTTTCCACTAGAAATTGATGGGTCCACTGGGATTGTTGATACTTCCAGAGAAGGCACCAGCGTTATGGGCTCCAGCACCAGGGCCTTTGTTGGTTATAGATCCACCATTACCACCAACACCAGCCAAGCCCAAGTTGACACTTCCAGGGGCAGTGCCGTAGTTGGTGGATCCTGAAAAACCGCCCGCGTTCCATGCTCCGGCACCAGGGCCTGTGTTCATGAGAGGACTAGGATTGTTGTTGGCATTGTTCCCCCAACCTCCATAAGGGTTGTTGGGTCCCCAATAACCATAGCCGGGATGGTTATAAGGTCCCCAGTAGCCGTAGCCGTTCGACGTTTTTTCCTTCACTTAGAAGCAAATTTGATAAGGTTAAAACCCCTTTTTGGTCCCTGAACTATTGTACGGACCCCCGATTTAGTCCCTGAACTAAAAAAATCCCTGATTTGGTCCCTACTGTTTACCATTTTTACCCCGATTTGGTTCTTCCGTTAAAAATCGTCCGTTAACTCACAGATATATCAAAAATTTAAGCCACATCAACTGTACACGTGAATAAATGATGACATGGTCATACCCGACGCAAAAACAAAAGTGGGACCCACCAAATTACAATTTTTCATCATCTTCTTCCTCCAGCATCTTCTTTCTCGAAACTTCCTTCATTCACACAATCAATTCAATCAAA